CGAGGTAGGACGGTCCAGGGCCCGCGCGGCCGCCCCTGTGGGGAGGGGAGGCTGGACGGGTTCCCTTCCCCCACCCCCCAGCACCTTGCGCCCAGCGAGGGGTGGTGGGCCAGCGGGGTGCGGCCCCGGGCGGAGCCACCCAGGGAAGGGAGATAGGGGAGCCCTGCCCGGGGTCCTGGCCCCTCCGTTTGTCTGTGGCTTTTTATAATACCCCCTACCTTCCCACGGGCCGCTTGCGAATTAACCCTTTCAGTCGTCAGATGCCATTTGGCCCGTAGTGGCCAAAGAACTTTGTTTCTCTCAATTCTCACCCCAAATACAACTGGAGATGGAGGCCTCCGGTTGCTGAATTCGCTGTGGAAGACACTTGGTGCAAGGTTGGGCCTCTGCCAGCTTGGAGTTAAGTCTGTTCAGGCAGCTTTTTCTCTGCTGTCTGGAGCCTGGAAAGAGGGGGGGCAGGGTCTACTATCCCAGACCAGCAGGAGGGCCCTGCAGTGGGGGCCCTTCTGCATCCATCCACACTGTCAGCTTACCTCAGGTTAGGGGGAAGGGACCTGTGGCTGAGGGATGGGGGGCAAGCAGGGAGTATTTCTGCCCCCGGTCGGACCATAGCCTTGGACTTCCCAATGTAGCAAGAGGTGGAGGTGCAAATACACACACCCAACACTCCTTCACTGTCACACATGGCACAAAGCTGAACATAGTCTTACACATACACTCACCTGTACCGCCGTACACACATACAGGTACACAGAGTCAGACACATGCCAACTCATGCCTGCACAGTGTCACAAACACTTCCAGCCACAGCCCTGATGGACAGAGTTGGATGGGAGCTGCTGGAGTCCTCCAGGGACAGGGAAGGAGTGGCAGAGGCAGGCTGTTTGGGGCTCAAGGAAGCCTGAGGTCAGGGGCTCCAGATGAGCTGGATCCCTTACCCCTGGGCCTCCCATGATCTACTTTCCCCCCTTAGAGAGAGGCAGCTGTGTGAGGGCAGCCTCTAGCAGAGGCCTGGCACTGTGGATGGGGTAACTGAGGCAATGTGGTGTTTGGTAACGGCACCACCTGGACGTCAGGAGGCCCGAGTTCTACTTCCAGCTTTGCCACTCGACCTTGGGCAAGTTTCCTCCTTGGATCTCAGTCGGTTTCTGCCTGCCGTCCTTCTACAGAGCCCCACCCTGGGATAGAGAGAGAAATAGAACTATACTTGTCCTTAGGAAATTGACTATCTCGGGAGACAGACACATGCACTTCTATAGTACAAAGCACTAAGTGCAAAGATGAGCTGCATCCAAAATGCCTTGAGAATGCCAGAATGGGGGTGGTCTGGGAAATACTTCACAGAGGAGATGGACTTTAGCAGGGCGTAAATGAGGAGTTGAAATTTGTTAGACAAATAGATACAAAGACATTTAAAAAAATTTTTTATTGATTTCAGAGAGAGGAAGGAAGAGGGAGAGAGAGACAGAAACATCAATGATGAGAGAGAGTCATTGATCGGCTGCCTCCTGCACTTCCCCTGCTGGGGATCAGGCCCGCAACCCAGATGTGCTCGGACTGGGGCTCAAACTGTGATCTCCTGGATCATAGGTCGATGCTCAACCGCTGAGCCACACTGCTGGGAGTACAAATACATTTTGAATGCTATGTGCCAAGCTCTAGAGTACCTGCCCTCATTGCTTTACCTCTTTTAGACCTCATGCCTATTCTAAGAGGAAAGTGGTCAAAAGGAGCTCTGGCTCTGGAGTGGAACCTCGAGTGAGTTCTTTACTCTGTTTATGCCTTGGTTTCCTCATCTATAAAATGGGGATAATAGATGAGCATCATATAAAGGAATATTCATGTAAAACTCCTAAAATACTGCTTTGAACACAGTTATGTCATTCCAGGGTAGAGGATGCAGCAGGAGGGTGATGTGAGGGCTGTCGGCTGTCTGTTGAGGGTCAAGGTGGGTTCTGGCTGGCTGAGCAGGTGCGTCCTTCCTGGCACTAGGAGCTCTACCTTTCCAGGACTGTTCTCTAGTCGGGTGGTGTACAGAGAGCTGTATTTTCTCAGCTGGATCCTTTAGACACTGTGGGCTAGGAGTAGGAGGTATAAAAAGTTAATCCATTTTCCAGATTGTCAAGCATTGGGTGGGCTGCGGGGGAGTAATGTGAGATGAGGCTGAAAAGGTATGTTGGAGCCACATCTCTAAGGGCCTTGAATCTCTGCTAGGCAGTTGGCTATCTATGGGTGAAGTGGGGTGACATGATTTGCTTTGTTATAGGAAGCTGTGGCATTGTAGAGCACAGACTAATATGAGAAGGCAGGCCTGTTGGAAGGCTGGTGCAAATGTGCGGGTGGGAGATGACTTGGACTAAGGCCCTGGCAGTGGATGGGGGGGGATGGGACTGGAAACTTTTGGAGACAGAAGGGTCAGTTCTCTGTAAGTTGGCTGTATAGGCGAGGGAAAGAGCTGTTTAAAAGTTTCTTGCCGCATAGACCTGGTGTATGGTGATGTTTCTCTGAGCTGGAGAATGCAGGTGCAGCACACTCAGGGAGAATGATAATTTAGGGCAGCTGAGTTCGAGGTGCAAAGTAACATCTGGTAAAGATAGCTAAGAAACTCTTTCTCTCTGGTAAAGTGGTCTGAGTGGACTAAGTGACTGTTGAGGTTGTCCTGCAAACTTTAGGTTTTGGTGTGGGAGCTGGGTTGAAGGAGGCCAGTGATGTCTGGGGCCTGATGAAGCCATACTTTTGTAGTTTTCAGAGGGCCAACATGAGAAAACAAAGGGAAGCCAGGGATTCCTGGGGTGCTAGAGAGGACAGAGGACAGTATGATTTAGAGTAAAAATAATCTTTATTGGTAACTTGGAGTTAAGATATAGAGCTTAAAACCTAGACATAAGTAGGCCTTTTCAAGATAGATCAATCAAATTCTTTGATATGTGGGACTTTTTAAACTTTTATCTTATTGATTTCAGAGAGAGGAAGGGAGAGGGGGAGAGATAGAAACATCAATGAGAGAGTCATTGATCAACTGCTTCCTGTGCACCCCCCACTGGGGATTGAGCCCACAACCCGGGCATCAAACCTCGATCTCCTGGATCATAGGCTGATGCTCAACTGCCGAGCCATGCCGGCTGGGCTGTGGGACTTTTTATTTATACTTTATGTCTAAAAAATGTTTCTTGAAAGCTACAGTCAAATTTAATCTGCTTTATAACTGGTGTATATTAAATATCTGAGTTTCCTTGAGAAAATTACTTAATCTGCTTTAACTTGTTTCCTGAGCTATAAAATGGGGATAAATTTAACTACCTCATAGAATTGTTGTGAGGATTAAATGAGTTGACATACATAATGCATTTAGAACAGGGCCTGACACATGTAAGACATAAGACCCTATAGGTATAATAATTGTTTCCATGGTATTTTATATTTTCAAATAATTGCTTAGAGATCCAAGGTAGGTAAGATGCATTTGAAACAGAAAAGACCAAGGCCACTTGAAGGGCAAAGAAGCAGGGGAGCGAGCATTCCTTGACAGGACCTGATCCAGCTAGCAGGCAATGTGCAGCTGGGTTACGGGGCTCATTTGTTAGAATCACAGAATCTGTATTTAAGAGCCTGTAGAAGGATGGGCCAATTCAAACAAGATGATTGACATTTTAAGGAACAAGAGATGTGGTTTAAAAGCACTGGCTGTGAAAAAGCCTTAAGGATTTTAGTTAAACTCAGCATTTGTCAAGAATATGGAGCTGCCCTATATGCTAAGGGAATCTTGGCTATATCAGTAGTTTAGTGCTCAGAGCACACCTGGGTATGGCTCTGATATCCATCCCCAAGGGACAGTGACAGTTTGGAGCCTGATCAGAAAGAATGACCCAAATGAGGACACAGGAAACCTTGGCATGCATGGAATAATTGAAAGATAAGTTGGTTCTCTTTAAGTGTTTGGAGAACTTATATGGAAAATAAGTTAGATTTCTCTGATTCTAGAAAGAAGAGTCAAGTCCAGGTAAAAACTGCAGGGAAGGCTTTACCTCAACATTAGAATTTTATGATAGTGAAACAAATAGTGGTGGCTCAGGTGTGAGTTTCCTGTCATTGAAGGTATGTAAGCAGAGATTAGACATTGACATTGTGGGTATATTTTCAGGGGATCTAAGCCAGGGCTGAATGGGGATAGATCAGTGGAGGGAAGGGAGCAGACAAGTGCCAATATGTGAGAACCTGATGTGATCTAGGTCTGTGGCCTAATGGCTCGAGTCACGAACCATCCAGGGACTGTGGCTGCCCTCTCACTTTAAGTCATTTCTCTTGCAGGGAAAAAAGAGCAGAGGCCAAATTTTCTTTTCAAGAGCAGCAGCACTCTGAATCCCTGGATGATACTCTACCTTTGGAGGGGACCTTGAATTTAGAGGACATTCTCTACCTGGGGGACACAGGTGACTTTGATGACATACTGTATGTGGAAGAGATTGAGAAGTCTGGGGAGACACTGTCTATTGAAGATAACAGGCAGCCAAATGAGGCCCTTTGTGTGGAGCCTGTGAAGCCGGAGGAGACAGTGTGTGTGGAGGAGCCTGTGAGGCCGGAGGAGACACTGTGTGTGGAGGAGCCTGTGAGGCCGGAGGAGACAGTGTGTGTGGAGGAGCCTGTGAGGCCGGAGGAGACACTGTGTGTGGAGGAGCCTGTGAGGCCGGAGGAGACAGTGTGTGTGGAGGAGCCTGTGAGGCCGGAGGAGACACTGTGTGTGGAGGAGCCTGTGAGGCCGGAGGAGACAGTGTGTGTGGAGGAGCCTGTGAGGCCGGAGGAGACACTGTGTGTGGAGGAGCCTGTGAGGCCGGAGGAGACAGTGTGTGTGGAGGAGCCTGTGAGGCCGGAGGAGACAGTGTGTGTGGAGGAGCCTGAGAGGCCGGAGGAGACAGTGTGTGTGGAGGAGCCTGTGAGGCCGGAGGAGACACTCTGTGTGGAGGAGCCTGAGAGGCCGGAGGAGACAGTGTGTGTGGAGGAGCCTGTGAGGCCGGAGGAGACACTGTGTGTGGAGGAACCTGTGGGGCTGGAGGAGATTCTAGGTGTGGAGGAGCCTGTGAAGCCAGAAAAGACAAGCCCAGAACAGATGGCTTATGGGGGAGAGACGGTCACAAATGAGGAAAAACCTAACCCCGAGGAGAGCCCCAGAGCCGGGCCTAGTCCCAGCACAGAGGAGAGCTTGAGCATAGAGGACCTCGAATTGCTTGAGGGGCGTTTCCAGGAATGTGTCCAAGCTGTGGCCCAGCTGGAAGAGGAGAGGGATCAGCTCATCCATGAGCTTGTGTTGCTCCGGGAACCAGCTCTCCAGGAGGTGCAGCAAGTCCATCAGGACATCCTGGCTGCCTACAAACTGCAAGCTCAAGCAGAGCTGGAGAGGGATGGGCTAAGGGAGGAGATCCAGCTGGTCAAGCAGAAGCTGTTCAAGGTGACGAAGGAATGCGTGGCCTACCAATACCAGCTGGAGTGCCGCCAGCAGGATGTGGCCCAGTTTGCCGATTTCCGGGAAGTGCTGACTGCACGGGCAGCCCAGCTCTCGGAGGAACTGGCCCAGCTCCGGGATGCCTATCAGAAGCAGAAGGAGCAGTTACGGCAACAACTAGAAGCGCCTCCAAGCCAGGGGGACGGGCACTTCCTGCAGGAGAGCCGACGGCTCTCTGCCGAGTTTGAGAACCTCATGGCAGAGAGCCGCCAGGGCCTGGAGGAGGAGTATGAGCCTCAGCTGCTACGGCTCCTCGAGAGAAAAGAAGCTGCTGCCAAAGCCCTGCAGAAAACCCAGGCAGAGATCCAGGAGATGAAGGAGGCTCTGAGACCCCTGCAAGCAGAGGCCCAGCAGCTCCACCTGCTGAACAGGAACCTGGAGGATCAGATCATACTTGTGAGGCAAAAACGCGACGAGGAGGTGCAACAGTACAGGGTAGGCCCATTAGGCACGGAAGGAATTGCAGTCTTTTAGCCTGGGGAAGGACAAGGTGATGGGAGGCAAAGGTCTCTTGGGCTGAAGGACACTGCCGTATGTAGGAAGAACTTATTCTTTGCAGCCATTCATTCATGTCTTTACTGCATTCATTTCATTCATTCAGGCCTGTGCTAGGGGCTGAAAATGACCTGCATTCTTAGTTTACACTTTTACACCAATTATCTCACTTGATCCTCTCATTAATCCCCCAAGTCCATTTTTATTATGCTTTTACAGAGGAAACTGAGGCTCAGTGAGCCAGAGTAATTTGAACCCTGGTCTGACCAACCCCAAATATGTCAGCTTTCTTTCCACGGCACAATTTCCCAGTTCTAAATGAATCACACCTAGGCTTACAAAGAGCAAGAGGCAAGTTGGAATTCTTTCTCCTTCCCCCATATGCAACCTCAAGTCCCACTTATCTGATCTCTGCCTTGAAGTTTTCCAGTCTTAAAACTGGTACGAAATCTATAAATATCTATTTCTCTTTTTCCTTTTTTGTCCATTTGTCACCATTTCACTTGTATTCAAGTTATTTCTGGTTAAGTCTGAGCCAGTTCTAATCCCTTTATGGAACAGCGGGATATAGATATTAGTGAATAAACAATGTCTCTCCCACAGGCTGTGAGCTTTTGTAAGGTAGGGAGTGTTTTACTTACCTCTGCCACTAGGGCTCAGAGTACACGTCAGTTAAATGCTGACTTAAGTGCTGCTGGGCACTATGAGAAGACTATACAGTGTGGTGCCTTTCAGAGCAGTATTTTTGTCTTGAAACACGTTCCTTTGAATAAACTTATGCCCTCCCAGAGATTCTGATACATGTTTAAGGAAACATGTCCTCCGTTAAAATTGGTTGCATTCACTTCACTCAAGATTTTGTCAAGCTTTCTGTAGCTTGTATCATGAAAAGAATAGGGGTTTTTGGTGGTAGTATTGAATGTTTTCAAACTATGCATATGTGTAGTATCCTCCCCCCTCCCCCATTTTTTTTTTTTATTGGTTCACAATCTAGTGAAAGGGAACTTATTTTAATAGCTTATACTCAGAAAGATATTACATTCACTGTAACCCAGGGTAGAAAGTAACATGGGAAAATGAGGTTATTTTTAGCCATGGGTTAAATCAGAGAACCCTTCATGGAAGAGGTGTTATTTGAGCTAGGTATTGAAGCGTAGGCAAGATCTAGACCAGTGCTGCCCAAAAGAAATATAATGCAAGCCACATATATAATTTAAAATTTTCTAAACACCACATTACAAAAGTAAGGAGAAATAGGTGAAGGTAATTTTAATATATTTTATTTAGCCCAATATATCGAAAATATAATTAGTAACTTGACTGCATGTGAAAGGTGAAAACTGAAAGGTAAAGTAAACTGTAAAGGTAGGTTGGGGCAGATCACATTGGACTTTGAAATCCAAACCAGGGAGTTTGGACTTTATTCAGTAGTCAGTTGCATCATTAAAAGTATTTAAATTAACCAGTGTTATCTCAATAAATTTAATTAAAAAAATGAAAGCCAAAAACCATAAAAGTATTTGAGAAAAAGTACTGGTTGCAGTGTGTAAAATGGGTTAGAGACCCAGAGGCAAGGGAGATTAATTAGGAAGCTACTGTAGGTAAGAGGAAATGATAGTGGAAATAAGAGGATGGATGCAAGAACAAATGTGGAATAAACTTGGCCACTGAATGAATGGGGCAGAGAGGTGAGGAATCAAAGAGGATGCTGAGATTTCAGGCAAGGCTAACTAGGATGGTGGTGGCCATAAACGGAATTCTCTGGACTTGTTTTCCAACACAGTACTAGAGTTGTAGAACTTTTCTCCCCAGTGATTTTCATCACTGTTCTGGATTTATTTAGATTTGTTGATTGTGCAACTTTCCAAAGATCATTCTATGAAAAAAACTCTTGATGAGCATCTCCTATCGCTTTACCATAATTTAAAGTAGGAATTGAAGTCTGAAGGAGCTAATTCTTTCTGAAATGGCTTCCTAAACTGTTTGCCAAAGGTCACTTATAGCACCTGATTACTTTTCAAAGGTATACTTCACTCTTACAATTGTAAACACTGCCTCTTTCATCTTTTCATTCAACAGATATTGTCTAAGTGCCTTCTTACTATGTGTCAGGCAGTGAGCTATGTGCTGACAAAAGAAATGAGAAATGGGGAAGGGAAGGAGTTCTTGCCCTTGAACAGTTTACAGTACAGGAAGGATATCAGATAAAATGATTTTAAGATGCATTCTGACCTGTTAAAATGTCAAAGCATTAGAATCAATGAAATAATAGACCTCAATGTGAAACACTGTATAGGAATTAGGCATTGTACCGATGAAGCAAGTATAATTATCCCTAGCTGGAAATTTTATGAGGATTAATAGATGGCATATACTTGAAATTCTTTACATGTAGTAGTAATTCACTTAATCCTTACCTCTCTGAGATAGGTATGAACTACTGTCATCATTTGAAAAATGAGAAAATGGGTGAGACAGAGAAGTTACTTGTCCAGAATTATACAGCTAGGACATGATGGAAGGACATAACCCTGTGCAACCTAGCTGAAGCCCATAGTCAACCACTACAAGGTGTTTGTATAGATGAATTCATGGGGTAGACAACAGAAAGGCATTCCAAGCAGAGGGAACAACTCATACAAAAGCATGAGAACTCAAAAAGACATGTTATAGGAAGTGTGAGGGTGGCTGGATCATATGTGAGTAGAGCAATGAGGCCGGCAAGGTAGATGGGGATTGGAATGTAAAGGGCTTTATGTAGTCTTTGACAAGTAGTTTTCAAAGAGGTTTTCTCCAAAGCCACAGGCCTTTTCCACGAAATAGAATTTTATATGGAATGCCAATATATTAAAACAGGCAAAAGTGGAGCTACTTTCTAATTAGAGTGGCAAGGGCACTCCATTTTGGCTACCTCTTGGGGTCTCACAGGAAATAGTTTGAAGACCACTAAAGAACCTATATAGCTCGGCCGGTGTGGCTCAGCGATTGAGCATCAATCCAGGAACCAAGAGGTCATAGGTTCGATTCCCGCTCAGGCTGAGGGCTTAATCCCCAGTAGAGGGTGTACAGGAGGTAGCCAATTGATGATGTTTCTCTTTCATCACTGTTTCTCTATCCCTCCCTTCCTATCTCTCTAAAAAGCAAACTTTTTTTAAAAAAGCATTAAAAATATCAGCTCTAAGCCAATGGCAAGTCCTGGTTCCACCACTTCCGAACTGGGAAACTTTGGACAAATTACTTAATCCATGTGGCTCTGTTCCCTAACATGTAACACACATCATAGGGCTTTTGCAAGGAATGAACTAGTTAATACTTGTAAAGTGCTTGCAGTGGTGCCTGGCACATAGGTATGTACTCATGGAATATGCTTACTATCTGCAAGTTTCTCATCAACACTGTGTGTAGGGTGCAAGAACAAGGAACTTACAACCTGATTGGGAGTTAGACACAAATTTAAAAGATAAATAGCAATATAACAGCAGATGCTGTCTAGGTGAAAGAAGTGGCAGAAGCAAAGGCACAGAGATCTGAGTTGGTCAGGCTAGAGCAGCACTGTCTAATACAAGTCTCATGCAAGACAGATGTATGTAACTCATCATATAAAAATATTATAATTTTAACATGTAATCCATATCAAAATTTGAGTTATTTTATTTTTGTGCCAAGTCTTGGAAATCTGCTACTTTATACTTATAGAAACATCTCAATTTAGAGGAGCCATACTTCAAGTACTCAATAGCCACACATGGCTAGTGACTTCCATACTGGATAGTGCAAGTGAGGGGAAAATGTTCACATGAAAGAGTAATGGAGATTCTAATTAGAAGTAGGGGTCAAACTGGAGAGCATCTGAAGACCAGACCAAAGAACATGGGAAGCCTTTGAAAGACTGATATAAAGCAGTTTTTAGAAAGTTAATCTGGTGGTGCTATGTAGGATTAAGACTGGAGATTGTCCTTAATGCCAGTCACTGTAGCAATACATCCTTCACTCTGACATCGTTCCTTGAGAATGGACGGTGCAGACTGCCTTCTCAAGCATGTACTTTTGTGCCTCGCCAAAATAGCAGGTTTGCTAGTGGGGTTTGGGAAATTGGGGCTCAGAAGTACGCAGATGCTTCCCTCCAGATGACACACTTAGACGGTATGGCTGCATCTCTGTGCGGTGCAAAGCATGGCCATGCACTACAAAAGGTCTTTTGATAATGTTTAAGTTGAGATTCAGCTAGAGTATCAACCATTGCAGACTGATGTGCCACAGATATACCAAGGATGACTCAGAGAACAAATTATTTAGATCCTTCTAATAATAGCATGTACCCAAACTGGATTCCTATCTTACTTTTCTTCCAAATTTGAGAAGTCATTGCCCCTTTAAGATATGCCTTCCAACTTCAACTCTTTCCCAACTCCCTCACGCTTCCTAAGAATTCATGCCAGCTAGCAACCAACACCAGACTGATTTGCTGACATCTTCCTTACCTCATTCCTCAGGCATTAACCCGCAGCAGAGACAATTTTCAGAATTGTTTCTGTGTTGGCAAAATGAGAAATAGTTATCTGAAAGCTCCCGAAGGCCCTCGGGGCATAGCATCTTTTACCAGCTTATCGATATTAATGGAAACAAACTTGCACAATACAGCAAGAGGTCTAAAAACTACTCAGCTCACCAAGGAGAGGATCAAAATCCTCCCCACTTCCTAAAACTGTGAAACTAAAGTCCCTCTGAGCACCTGTGTATCCCTTGCAGGATTCTATTAAGAAGCAAGCTGTGGTTAACAGATAAGACTCCTTTCAGGTCACCATCTTCAAATGGAGATGCACTTTCTCAAAACACAACCTCTTGAATTTGTTTCAACCTCAATACTTCTATGAAGATTAAATGATATACAAGAAAGTACTCTGTAAATGTAAGATTTTTATTGTTTGGCTAATCAGATATGTTCTTGGCCCTCTCATGCAGGAAGAGCTGGAGAAAATGGAAGAACGACAAAGAGAGTTAAGAAGTGGGGTTCAACTCCAGCAACAGAAGAACAAGGAGATGGAGCAACTAAGGATCAGCCTTGCTGAAGAGCTCTCAACTTACAAGTCAGTGTTTGCTGCTACTCAAATCTCAACTAACACTGGCTGAAGGGATGGTTGGGAGGGCAGATGATGCTTGAGGGAAATTTCATTCAGCAGTGGGGAAAAAATTATTTGGGAAATGATTTCATCCATGAACAGATGGAAAATGGCTCTTTTTTTTTTAAAGGGCTATGCTACCCAAGGGCCCGGAACAAGCTAATGCCCCTACTTCTCAGGCAGGTGGAACCGAGACACAGTCTCAAGGTGATCCTTGTGGGTACAAGAGTGGTGTTTGCATTGTTGCCTTCTTAACAATACTAATGCCTTAAAACAACTTAAGTGTGTGTCTAATGACAAATCATTTAGGGATAACATATATCTCCAAATTGCCTGGTTCAAACCTTCAGGATTCATTTGGAATGTTTGTTTCTGGTATGACTCAAAATATGCTCTAATTATCACCAGGAATTCTGTAACAGGATAAAACATCTAATCTCTGTGCATTCTTACTTTCCTCCCACTTTACCCCATCTGCTATTCATAAATAGTTTCCTTAGAATAGCAGAGAAGGCAGTTATGCTACCTAAGTTCAGACTATGGCAAAAGAGGCCAAGGCAGCTAAATTAATCTGTATAAAAAAGCTGAAGAGGATGTTGTTTACAGGCTGAGGGACAGGATTATTGCTTAGTACGTGAAATAATACACCTATCCATTAATTTCTCTATATACCAGTATGTTCTCATTCTTCAAGTTTTAGATTCTCTTGGGTAAAGAAACTAAGGATAAAAAAGGTCTCTGTCAAGTGTATACTGATTAGATGCCCATAAAGTTTATTCTCTATTTCCTAGTTAATCTTACAGCTTGGATACAAACTCACTAATGACTATTGTAACTGACGCTTTCCCTAACTTACTAGGATCTTCTTTTACTGTGTTTTATCCAGGCATAACTGATTACGCGTATTGTTTGGGAGATTACTGGAACCTTGTAATTGAGGAAAATGATCTGCTAAACACCTTTGTGTGGATCAGATTAAAAGTACAATAGGGAAAAGGTGATGATTAATTCAAAGAAACAAAACTACAGAATTTCAGGCACTGTAATACCTGTGTAAACTTAACCTGGACAGAGAAAATTTTTAGCTAGCCCCTCCCATCACCATCACATAGATTACCATTCACTGTTTTGCAAATAAGAGGCACTCAAATATTTCCTAGGGGGAAGTCATCCCTGATCATCTGTGAGTCATAGTCTAGCAATCTCTCCCCAACACAGCCTGCAATAAATTTCAGAAGTTCAGTTATAAACTTTATACTGTATTATTTCAAGTTGCAGAAAATATAAACTTATTCTTTTTTTTCCCAACCTTACAGGGGCTGTTTAGAAATGTATGGCCGAATCTGTAACCCAGAGACAACCAAAAAAACTTCTTAGCAAAGGATTGCTAAGTACCCTTTGGACATACTTTTTTCCAAACAGAAGAGAGTGCCAGGGACTTGGCAAGCAATTCACCCTGGGAAAGTTACAAATACTGGCTGACCTGTTTAAAGATTCTAGGGCTGGCTGGAGGCAAAACACATCAGTCAGTTCTTAGTTGGATTTTATTTCATAGGCTGCTGGTACTGATTTCAATGCACGGAGGAACTGGGGAAGAAAAAAAAAAAAAAAAGCCTCTTGTCCTCCAGCAACATGCACACTGAGTAAAGGATGAATGTATGCATCCCTGCAGTTCTGTGCAGAATGTATCTTGCCTTGTGTTCACTTAAACCAAAAACATTTTTTTGGAGCAATTTTCATTACATGGGTTTATAATTTGTATTCTTTTGTGCCATGAATGTTGGACTTTAAATGAATCCTTTTACAAAGTTTACTTTTAAGTCTATGCTGACTCCTGCTTACTCTTAATGGTACCAAGATAACTTTCACTATACTCTAAAAAAACTACTGACTTGGAAAAAATCAGGTTCTAATCCAGATTTGAACCTAAAGGTTAAGGATATTCAGATTTCCTTAAAGATCATACCTTGTGAAAATGATTTTTGGTCAGAGTGATCTACTACTCAGTTAAACTGAGTGATTGCAAAGAATCAGCCATTTTATCTGGTTATGGCACTTGGCTATAAAGGCTTTCCAGAACCTCTAAGTACAGGCCCCAGTGAAGAACATACTGGGGAGATTCAACCTGTGAGAAAAGGTTCATATGCCTTTTCCAAATTTAAATTTTGCCTTAAAATCTTTCTGCCACACTGCCTTTGACATTCTTCCAAGTCCATGTAGTTCTCTGCACATAGACTTAAAAAAGATATTATTTAATCAAAGACTAATCTGTGCAGCTAGAATTCAGTGTTTTATGTCTTTCACTTTCCCTGAGGAGTAAAGCTCTTTTCTATAGCACTGGGTCTATTATAATGTATTTTGCTCTTGATAGTCAAAGACCATAGAAAATAACTGTCATCTGAAGAATTCTTCTAGAAGCCAGAGACTGGTGTTTGACAGATATTATATACTAAATAAAGCCCATCAGCATGGGGTTATGTAGAAAAGCAATTTATTCCATTATAAGCACTTACACAGTTAGTCATGGAGAGTAACAGGCCTGCTGGTGAAACAGGTCACTCAAAACAGAGATGGTACCAAACTAGTGGTCAAGGACTAACTCCTAAAAAAAAAAAAGCAACTCTTATCCAGGATTAATTTAATTTTAAAAACAAATACAAGCTATTGATTCACTCTTCTCAACTGGACAGTCTACCTGTGGTATAACTGTCAGGTAAAAACATACATCTTTACAACTTGGTGGTCCCAAGTCTTTTTTAAAAAACCATTTCACAGAAAGGAAAGAAATAATATGAAAACAGCTCAAGAAATACACTAACAAGCAAAAATATATGGAAAAGAGGAACACATAGTTTTGACTTAACTCAAGAAACTGAGAGGAGATTGGTCTACATAGGAAATGTGCATCCTGGAAAGTCAGGTGTGAAGATTTTAGAGTAGGAATTTATATGACTTGAATCTCCCCTAATTCCTGAAAACATCTTGCAGTACATACACTTCATGGCTCACACACCTACCTCATTTGGCTCTATTCCTTACTTCTAGCTTTTGCTTAAATGAGCCTGAAAAACTCGGGGATATAGCATACGAAGAAAAATAAAATAACCACACACAATATTCCCCTTTAGGTGGCTACTTTAGGTCTTTGTTACTAGAAAATTCCTGAAGAAAATTTAAATATAAGTCTGTGGCTTTGCTGAATCAAGCCCCTCAGTTAATATTTAGAAAATACCCTTGGTTTGGGCTAATAGCACTGTTGATGGTACCTATTATAGAGGGATAGCTGAACAAAGTCTGTGTCTCAAAACCAGTGTTAATCAATATCGGGGTTGAGAGGAAAAAAAGGGCAGTCTAAAATTACAGCAAGTGCAGACATATCTAAGAGCCCTGTCCTTCTGGATCCACACTTCCTTCAGGGTCTTCATCATTATAAATGTTCTCTGCCTGCCAAAACAAGAAAAAGAGAAAAGGGTATTTAGTAAACATGAAGACAAGTTCTTGAAATTAAGGTTTCAAAAACAGAATAGACCAAGTCAAACGTTATGGGCCATATAGTCTCTATTGCAACTATTCAACTCTGCAGTTCTTGGACCAAAGAAGCCTAGACAATCTGTAAATGAATGGGTATGTCTACATTCCAACAAAAACAGACAAATGGCACAAGGGCAACACCCTGGATTAGTATATTCCCACAAAGCTGAAGTATGGTTACCGAATATCTTGATAACCTTTTTGAGCCCCTCAGCCAGACATTATTCATAATAGTCAAAAGTTAAAAATAGCCCTGGCGAGTGTGGCTCAACTGGTTAAGTGTCTTCCCGTACACTGAGAGGTTGCAGGTTTGATTCCCTGCTCGATCCCCGTAAGGAGCAGGCAGGAAGGAGCTGATCAATGTTTCTCTTTCCCTCCCCCTTCCTTTCTAAAATCAATTTAAAAAAAAGTAAAAAAGAACACAAATGTCCATAGACTGATGGATAAAATGACATAACCATACAATGAAATATTTGGCAAGAAAAAAAGACAGTCACATATTGTATGATTTTATTTATATTAAATGCCCACAACAGGCAAATCCAGAGAGAAAACAAATTGGTGGTTGCTTAGTGCTGGGTGGACTGGAGGAAAATGGGGAGCAATGGCTAATGGCTTTTCCAAGAATTTTTATAGAGCTCAATCCCCCATCTACGGGTTAGTGGAACTAAACCAACTCTCTAATCAAGTTCCAACTCTTTAATCAAGTGTTTGGTCTTTCTGGAGACCATCCCCATCTGAGGCTGTATCTAGGGGCTCCTTAAGTCACCTCCTTAGCATAAATTCAGGTGTGCCCCAAAGGGACTCCTTATAAATAGCAAGAGACTCCTTTGTAATAACTATGTATGGTGTCAGATAGGTACTAGACTTACCAGGGGATCATTTCTTAAGTCAGCAATTTTCAACCTTTTTCATCTCATGATACACATAAACTAATTGCTAAAATTCTGTGGCACACCAAGAAACACATTATATTTTTTGCCAATCTGACAAAAAGTTTTTGACTCATTCACACTGGACAGCTACTGTGTTGGCTGTTGCAATTTTCTTTCTTTCTTTTTGACAATCTAAGGGGAAAAGAGGTCAATACCCCTGACTAAACAGTCGGGTATTGTGTATTTTAAAAATTCTTGTGGCACACTGGTTGAAAATCACTGTCTTAAGTTATATAAATGTCTAATTAGTATGTTGTACACCCAAAACTAATACAGTATTACATATCAATTGTAGTTGAAAAAAATTTTAAATTATTTTCTAAAAATAGCAAGAGACTCCTAGCACTCAGGAAATCCTAAGGGTTTCAGGCACTCTGACACAAACCAGAACAGAGGCCAAATATTTATTTCTTATACCACAATTATTAAAAAAACAAAACACAACTAAGTAACAACTTGGCCTGGAATTGATGGCCTTGAAGGTGATGGAGTTCCCATGGCAGTTACTAAAATACCTTTAACTGAGAGATTATCGAAGGCAGCCCTTTTCATCACCTTCCTATTAGAACTCTCAACTTTTTATATTAATTTTCTATGGATGAGGTGGATTTTGTTTACACATGTAACACATCCTTGAAGAATACAAAGAAATCAGGAACTCCCAAAATGTACCAACTATATTTTGGCAAACAGACTTCTAAACAAATACCTACAAGTATTTAAACATAAGACCAGATACACATAATTTATATACGAGGGATTCCACCATGCTGTTCTGCAACCTGCTTTTTCTCTACTTAATAATATGTCATGAATATTTTACAAAACTAAGCATACTTCTTTAATACATACTATTCCAAAGTACAGATGTAGTATATCACTTATTAATCTCATAGGCCACAAATACTCTCATTAATAGTGCTCTTCTGTAGAAAAGTTTTAAAACATTTTTCCTCCTATTGAGCCAAAAACTTTCTCCTGAAGTTTATTCCTGGCTCCAGATCTATCCTGAGACACCAGAAGTTTTTTTTGGA